TTCCCACGATTCCAGATCTCAAAAGAACCTCAGGGATCACTTATCTCTACTGCCTCATCCACAGATGAAGAACTTGAGGTCCAGAGGGAAAAAGAGACCTGCCTGAGGTCACTTTGAGAGTTGGCTGCCAAGCAAGTAATAACATGTAGGCGCCTCGATTCCCAGTCCAAGCTTTACACAGAAAATCTCATTGAGCTGGAGCTAGCAGGCATTTTGATGTTTTCCTGTAAATAATTTAGGGGGAGGGGTATAAAACAAAACAGGATTTTGTTACTAAATATTGATGCTGTAGCTGCTGCTTGGAGAAGATTGCATATGATGTTTTCAATTAGATTCTCTTTATCTGCCTTTTTTTTTTAAAGGACAGGACTGTAGTGCGTTATTAACACTGACAGCTCCAGTATTCACATTGTGCTTCTGAAGGTATCAGGGGAGATACTGATCTATCAACACAATCCTCATAAGGAGCATTGTGCTGATTTCAGATGAGACCAGCAGGAATTGCTGTCTTGGCACTCCAGCCAAAACATCCTCGTGTGCTCCTACAAGGGTGTTCAATCCACCGGTGCTTCCTGGGCATCTGTGCCATTTTCATTACAAGGTATTGAACAGAGTTCCCTGTGCTGTACAGTAGGACCTTGTTGTTTATCTATTTTATATATAGTAGTTAGTATCTGTAAATCCCGAACTCCAGGTTTATCCCTCCTCACCCCCTCTTCCCCACTGGTAACCAAAAGTTTGTTTTCTATGTTTGCGAGTCTGTCTTTGTTTTGTAAATAAGTTCATCTGTGTCTTGTTTGTTTGTTTGTTTTAAGATTCCACATATAAATGATATTTTTCTTTCTCTTTCTGGCTTACTTCACTTAGAATGACAATCTCCAGTTCCATCCATGTTGCTGCAAATGGCATTATTTTATTCTCTTTTTATGGCTGAGTAGTATTCCACTGTATGTATGTGTATATATATACACACACACACATCACAAGGTCTTTATCCAGTTATCGTCAATGCACACTTAGCTTGCTTCCGTGTCTTGGCTATTGTAAATAGTGCAACTATGAGGGGACCTATTTCCTGCTAAGGGCTTTATAGACATCATCTTCACAGCAATGCAGTGAGGGGGACCGCACACATTTTCCAGGTGGAAAAACTGAAGTTCAGAAGGGTTAGGAAATGGGTGTAAGAACATAGGACAAAGCCAGGATTTGAATCCTGGTCTGCTAGGCTGGTGAAACCCAAGGTCTTCTCACTGTACTGCAGTGTCTGAAGTGTTTGGTGTAGGACAGTCCCATGTGCCAAGGTGAGCACGGAGGACCAGGAGAGGTCTGGCGGCTGCACATTTTACCATTCAAACCTTTGAGAGGGAAAGTGGAGCAGGAACACTAATTCTGCTGGGACTGCAGGTGTAAATCAGTACTCTTCTGGGCAGTCTCGGGTTGATGGTGAGCCCATCTTTATGTTGGATGCAGTCTCCCTTTTCAAGACATCTCTTAAGACAGAGGAGTTTTTAGAAAGAGCAGTGGTTGGTAAGCTGGGAAGATGAAGAGGGCTAAGGGTATTGGCTAATTTTATGTGTCACCTTGATGGGGCTAAGGGATGCCCAGAAGGCTGATAAAACATTATTTCTAGGCGTGTCTGTGAGGGAGTTTTAGAAAGAGATTAGCATTTTAGTCGTTAGGCTGGGGAAGGGGGATCGCCTTCACCAGTGTGGGTGGGCACTGGTCAGTCTGTTGAGGGCCTGAACAGAATAAAAAGGCAGAGACGGGGGGGACTTGCTCTCTGCTCCAGGTGTGACATCCATCTTCTGCCTTCGTACGTCTGCTGCGCTGGTTCTCAGGCCTCCAGGTTTGGACTGGAACTGCACCACTGGCTTTCCTGGGTCTCCTGCTTGCTGATGGCAGGTGGTGGGACCTCTCAGGTTCCGGAATTCCATGAGCCAATCCCTTATAATACATCTCCTTCAATATAAGACTATATAGCCTATTTGGTTCCGTTTCTCTAGAAAACCCTGACTCATATATTAAATGAAGATTAGAATCCACCCCACTGCATTGCTCTGCAGCACACAAACAGAGGAGTGACGGGTTCTGGTGGGGTGAATATCCAGCTGCAGCCAATCTCCGATGGAGCAGGAGCTTTGATGCTATTGGCCATAGCATCCAGCAAAGGGATCGAATGAAGGTCTTAGAACAGGGAAGGGGTCAGAGGATGAAGAGGTGGCTGAAGAGGCAGCTGAGCCAAAGATGACATGAGCTGCCATTTCTCCCATGAAATTCCTTTTTGGTCTCCATTTCTTCTATAAGGAGTGTTATTGGGTGACACTCAGTAATGCTTTGTATACAATAGAACTTCAATTAGCCAGTTGCTCAAGGGAATGGGAGTGTTGTGGTTAATTGAATTATCTGATTAACTGAGAGTTAATTAACCAGAAAACCTTTGTAGTTCTAAGCCACACTGGAAATATTTCACCATATCTAAGTTTGCTTTTCTTCCAAGATAGAGAAGGGGGAAAAGTCAAGGAAGAAGGGTAATAAAACGAGCTTTTAAGGAGGATCCAATGTGTGTTTGGTGCTTTATATATGTACTGTTACCTGGTTTAATCCTTGTAACTATTCTATGAAGCCAACATTACTATCCCATTTCACAGACAAGAAAATCTAAAACTACCTTAGCCGTCACTGAATATTGCTTTGCTGACTGAGGATGAGTCTCAGAGGAATCTCTGGGATATCAGAGCTAGAAACAGGTCCGGTGTGGGTTTTGGAGTTTGACAGTCCCACTCAGAAACCCTGGTCCTGACCCCAGCTAGCTGTGTGACCTTGACTAAGCGGAGGGGTAGCATGTCAAGGGAATCACAAGCATGCGCTCTGAGTCAATCAAACTGGGTTCCAGTTCTGACTCCGCCTTTTCCTGGTGGTGTGGTCTTCGGCCAAAACGTCTTCCCCTCTTTGCTTCTCAGCTTCTTCATCTGCACAACGTGCCACCACCTAGCTAGCAGGGCTGCTGGGGGCCAGAAATGGGTCCTGCATGAACTGCAGTGGTGATGGCGAGCGTCAGTGTGGCCCGTGGTCATGGTCACATAAGGGGAGCACAGGGGACTATGCTAAAGAGGCAGTAAAGAGACATCTGTCCCAGGACGGCCCCTGATGTTTCCTTCATACTGAATCTCAGACACTAATGCTGCTTTCTCATTCTTTCTCTCTCCTCAAATTATGATGTGAAAACACATTCCTGAAGGTACATATTTGCTAATTTTGATTTTATTGAATGTGCACCTCCGACAGAAGAGAACACGGTGGGGCCATTGTTACCCACTCAATCAAGCGCTAGTTTGGCTAAGTCACCAGCCTCTGCTGCCATCGTATTTTTAGGGAATGAAAAGCACAGTTCTTTTCACTCAGAAGGCTGGATTTACATCGCTTTCACTTAGCAAGTGAATAATTGATAAGCTGGGGCATATTAACATTGAACAAAAGAGCCCAACGGTACAAGGGTCCTGGGAAGGCTGCCTAAATCAATATACACTCATGAATTTTGAGTGCAAAAGGTTGAACTGAGAAAGAACACAGATTTAGACCCCCATTAATATTTGAAATACACCCTGCTCACGAGAGGCTCACAGGAGCCCGAATGTTAACTGCGGGGGCTTCGGAGAAATGGCTTCTAAACAAATTTGAAAGCCGTAGATTTTCCCCTCCAAAGATTTCACAAGAAAAATCAATCATCTCTGTTGTTTCTGCTGTCAGAAGGCATCTATTAAAAATCTAATTAGACTATTTTTGCCAATTAAACCTACCCGTGTAACACTTGTCGGACTCAATGTTTGTAATTGCTAAGAAAGCCAATGCGTCGCCCTCTGTGATCAATCTGTGGTGAAATGTTCCAGCCACTCCTGTGAGCTCCATCCTCCCCATGCAGGATCCAGCCTTAAAATTTGATTAATCTAAACATTTTGTAAGTTGTCAAAAGAGGTTTCTTGCCTGATGCCTCACGGTCACCCAAAGTGCCAGCCCAACCGAGGCCCAAATCACATCATCAGTCACAATTTGCTTTTGAAATGCCTTCTGCGAGGCCCCTAGTTTGAGCTATCAAAGCTGGAAATTTTAAACCAAGTGGGAAAATGCTTCTAATCTTAATGATTCATTGAACCCAGCGTCCTGCTGGAAAGTCATCTTAGTATTTGATACTGGCACTCTGCTCTGGCCATTGAAGACTTTTAAAAACTACGTGTCCACTGATATTCTAATGACAGTCTAGGAGACCATTCTATGGGGGTAAAGGCTCACCTTTTAGAAGTCATGAGATAGACTCTCACAATCGGAAGGGGCCTGCCTGAGTGGTCATTGCCTTCAGCCTCCAGCATCCATGAGGTTTAGGAGTCATATTCTTGGGCCTAAGAAATAGAAGTTCCTCCAGCCAGACTCAGGCTCTGCTTCCATACCCCTGCTGCTGGTGGACTCACCACCTTGTGAGGCAGCCCTTTGCATCCCGAGACACCTCTGACTTTTGGAAATAGGCTTCTTATGTTGAGCTGAACCTAACCTGCCTTCTTAGAACTTAGGCCCAAGAAGATGACTCCTAAACCTCATGGATACAGCTTCCGGAGCACTGTTTACTGGATTGCCAATCCTGCTCTTCTCCTATGAAGCAGTTAACATGGAGAATAATTCAGAGCATGTGCTCATTACTGGGTCTTAGAGGCTAAAAGGAAAATTTGGCCCCTACACAGTCCAGATGGTATTTGCTCTTCTCCCTGGAATTCTCGTGCTATGTATCTTAATGAATGAATTAATGCAATTTTTTAGTTGCATGGTTCTAAGGAGGACCTTATTTTTGAAAACTCCCCCTTCTGCCCATACACGTGGCATCTGTGTTTTCCTTCCAATATCCTAATTAACAGGCGAGGGAAGGTCAAGGCTACAACTCTTAGACTTGCTGGAAGGGACTGGGATTCTTGAGGGGAAGTCACATGTAAAGGTAAAAACACTTGCCCACAAATTCCAAGAAGCTTTTTTAACAAGGGCCAGGAACTCTGTTAGCTGTAGAGTGTGGTTTGTCCCATCATGAGAATGATCACCATGGCTAGGGGCCTCTGCAATCCCCTTTTTAAGTTACCATCTGCTTTCTTACCTGGAGAAAAGAGAGAAGTTGCTGTAGTAGAAAGAACATGGTGTATTGAGTCATGGAGATCAGAGGTTTATTTATGGCTCTTCCCATTTCTAGCTGTGACAGTTTGAGTGAGTTGCTAAAGCTTTTTGAAAGGGAGTTTCCTTTACTTACAACTGGGATAAAACTTCCTATTTCACAAGGTTGATATTATTATCAAAATAAAGGGAGATGATCAAATGATTGACTGTGGTGTATCAGTGGGCTAATGCTGTGTAACAAAGTACCCCCAAACTCAGGAGCTAAAAAAGTAGGCATGTATTATTGCTAACAAGCCTACATGTCAGCTGAGAAATCTGATAGTTTGGGCCAGGCGTGGCTGGTCTTTCTGGGCTGGCTCATGCATCTGTGTTGAGCTGGTGGATGGGCTGACAATTGATTATTTCATTTACATGCTGGCAGTTAACTGGTGGGCAGCTGGAGTTATTGGATGTCTCAGCCTCTGGCAGGCTACCTTAAGTTTATTCACATGGCCAAGGCCCCAAAGAGCAACAGAAGCATGCCTAGCTTTTGAAACTGGCACCACGTCAAATTCTATTGGCCAGTAGATCCCACCTCTGGATAGGAGGAGCTTGAAAGTCCCATTGCAAACAGCAGCCACTCTTGCAATGAATCTGTCCCACTCCTGGTCTCACTGGTGCGACTGCTCTGAATATGGCAGCTATTCAAGACAAAACAGCTATTTCACAGACTGTACATTGCCAGGATTGATCTTGTCTGCAGCCTCTTAGGGGAAGCATTTACAAACTGTCCATTAGGAATCCCCTATCTTAATCATCTTATTGTTAACATTAACAATATCTCAGAGTTATAGTTCTACTAGAATCCATGAAGTTGGGTGGGGATCTGGATCAAGCCACTGATGGTAGAAGCTGGACAAGTTTCCAGGTCAGCCTGAGTGCAAGGGCAGAATGGAAAGAGGTCCTGGTCAGACTTGCATCAGCTCTTGTTAAGAAGAAATCCTGGGGTTGAGGACCTGCCACTCTTGACCTGGGAAGAACCCATTGTTATCTTCACCCCAGCTGGGGAAAGGTTGTGTACAGCTGAGTATTCCTCCACTCCTGGCCTGGCAGCAGCCTCCTTTCATTGACTCCTTACTTGGTCCCTGTAGTTTCTCCATCATTCTCCCCATTTCACCATCACCAGAGCTGAGGCTTGGAAAGCTAGACTGATTTATAAGTGACAGAGCTGGAGTCAAACTCAGGGAAATGCAACTTGAAAACCTGGCTTGTTCCTTCACACCTCACTGCCCCTGAGGTCAGTGGCAACAAGAACAGAGGAGAAATTTTTGTGAGTTGGGCACAGGGCTAAGTAAGCATTGTTGTCACTTATCACCCAGACTGCCCTACTTCTTTTAACCCTGTTTTACAGGTGAAGGAAAAACAGGTTCAGAGAGGTTATGTAGCCTGCCCAAGGGTGCACAGCCAGGAAGTGGCAGAGCTGAGATGAACGAGTCAGGCTGAGTCCCCACCACCACTTTGCTGCAAGACCATCTTTGAACAACAGGAGAAAGAGGAAGCTCTGTCTGGGAACCCATCCCCCCTTAGAATACAGGCTGATCACTCTCTCAGGAAAGAGAGTAACAGCCTAATAGTGCCTGGGAAAAGGCAGGTGCTCTGGGGTGTGGGAACTGGCTGAGCAACATGGTGCTGCCCTCGTGGGGACTCAGGGACCCCCTGGGCTGATTCTAGTTGCTCTGGGAGGGGGCAGACTGACTGAAATCAGCCGCCGTATGGCTTTAATCTAGGAGGTCTCAGAAGGGAAGCGCCAAGGACAAATGAAACAGGCCTGCAAAATTGTTCTTGGCTCTGCAACGCCCTCTGATTTTCTTGGCATCGCAGTGCTCATCAGCATCCCAGGCGGAGGCGGGGGTAGGGTGGGCAAGAACACCAGGGGCTGAGCAGGAGCTGTCGGAGGAAGAATGGATTAATCCTGGGGATTCAGTCATGTGGAGAGGGTCACAGTGACAGCATCAAAGCAAGACTGGCTGCCTGAAGCCCTTCCAGCTTAATCACAGACGCCCGGCTCCTGCCACAAGCCCCTCCTACCTCCTGCGGAGTTCCCAGGTGGCCACCCTGCCCGGGTTATACCAGCTGCTTCCTTCCTCTCTGCCCACTCAGCCCCCTCTGTTGTGGCGCTGGTGTTCTCAGAACCTCTTCCCTGAGCCCTGGGCACCCCTGTACCTACACTTCTCTCCCTCTTCAGGTGGCCGATGCCTGGGTATCCAAAACCAGAGGATGCAGCCCAGGGAGGGGGCCTCACCTCTGCCCCTGCCAGCCTGCCGTCTGGGCCTCTGCCCAGGGTGTGCTTCAGATCTAGTTCTGGGAACCAAAGGAGGGCCCCCCAAAATGCTAGTTCAGGGATTCTGTCCTCTTCACCTGCTCTTGGAGGCCTTCCTCATACCCCTCCCCCACCACAGAGCCCCTGAGGCCCCCCATGACGTCACATTCATTGTCTGTCTCCCGCCAGCCTGTTCATTCCTGAGCCCCGAGACCCAGGCCACTCTATACACTGTCTGGTGGCCAAACTCCAGCAAGTGGAATGGAATAGAATCCCCTCCCACCAGAGACTTTCTCCAGCCCAGCCAGCATTTAATTTCCCTCCTTGGATCCCTCAGTGCTATGCCCCTTGCCACCCTTGCTCTAGCTGTCTAAAATGATACTGCAAGAGATTTTGGAAGAAGGATGTTGTGGGGCCCTGGTGGTGAGCCGTTAGGGTGAAGCAGTCAGGAACGGCTTCTTGAAGAAGGGAGTATGGAGCAAGTCAGGGTAGGGCAGGGGCTTTGCAGGAATGATGAGGGAAGGGCCTTGGGTGGGCAAAGGGCCGGAGGGGATGAACCAGCCTGGCATGGAGGAGCGGCCTGTGTGAGGATGCTCGTATGTGCATGTGTGTGTGTCTGCATGTGCACATCTATGTGCATGTGACTGTTCATGCGTGTACATATGCTCGTGCACGTGTGTCTGTGTGTGCATGTGAGCATGCGCACGCATGTGTATGTGTGTGACTGTGCACATGTATGACTGTGCCCGTGCATGTTTATGTATGTGTGTGTGCACGTGCGGTGGGGGGGCAGGATCAGTGTTGAGAAGCCAGGTTGCTAGGCAGCCAGTTGCCAGATCTCTGAGTGCCAGTCTGAGCTGCCTTGAGTGGCAGCGATGAGTCTGGGGAGAAGCTAAGTGTGCAGCTGCCTCCCTCTGGTTCCGCCCCCAGGCTGGCTGTGCTGCCCTGGACCCGCAGCGCGGCTGCCTCAGCCTGCAGGGCTGGGGCATAAACCCCTGCGGTCAGCTCCTCTGTCCCTACTTAGCTCAAGCGTGACCACTAGTGAGACCTGATGACGTGGCCTCTGGATGGTGGCCTCCTCTCCACACCTGTCTTGGCCAGGGGTCTCTCTGCCTGGAGCCCCTCCCACCCCATCCACCCTTCACTCAACTCTGCCGTCCGGTTGGCTGCTCTCAGTACAACTCCTCTGCTGACGACCTTTAAAGGCTGAAACAGCATCCGCACCCCTTCAGTGGCATTTACTGCCTCCCTTTCAGGCCTCCCGAGCCTCCCCACCCTCTGCCCTCCCACATGCTGCCAGCGCCAGCTGCCCTCTTCCCTGAACACCTAAGTCCATGTCTTTGTAGCCTCATTCCTCTTTTCTTTTCTGCTGGAAATGCTCCTTATTATCTTGTGAAATCCCATTATTGGCTCAAAAATCACTTCTGCTCTGTAGCTTTTCTGACCCTGGCAGGCAGAACCAGTTTCTCCACAGCCCCCAGTTCATTCGGTCAGCATCCACTTTTTTCCCCGTGCTGTGGGCCTGCCTTCTCCTGGCAGACTGCTGGCTCCCCTGGGCAGGGGCCTTGCCTGACACCCCCACAGCACCTGGCATCAGGCAGTGCCGAGCAGGCGCCTGATTCATGTTGGCAGGAAGGAGGGACCCACCGGCCAGGCAGGGCCTCCTCCGGGGCATCCGTTCTCCCCGGTGACTCACAGACATCCTGGGGGTGGCCTTACTCTTGGCTGAGCTTCCCCTTCTGGGTCTTATTATATTCCGATGTTGGGTTGGGTTCACTCCAATTATTTTCACAGTCCCGAAGGGCTGCTGGGGACTCGCACGGGCAGCTTTCTGACTTCTTGCTAACCACAGTCTCCGGGGATGTCTCTTTTCCCAGCTCAAGTTTCTCTCCTATCAAATTTCAGGACCACATTGCACTTCTAGCTGGTGATGCTTGAATACAGTGGGTCCTGTGTTGGTGCCAGGGTGCAGGGAAGCACACACCGGGATGGCCTAGAGGGAAAGGAGCCCCTGAGCCTGAGACTAAGGTCGTGTGAGGTGGTGGGTAAGGCTCACAGGCAGAGAGGTAGGCACCCACGGTTGTGGGAGCTTGGTAGGTGTCCATTTCTTATCTCTCGAATAGGCCCACCTCCCAGGGTCACACGGGACCCCAAGAGATCAGACTTGCAATGTGTTCAGTGTCTGAAACAGAGTCCTCAAAGTGAGCTGTTGTTATCCTGAGCGTCGTCAAGGCTACTTTTCATCATGCCGTTAATTCACAGCATTTCCGAGCTGGATCTAGTCCACATCCCTGCGTCTGTCATTAAGGAAACAAACACACTCACGCAGGGGAGGAATTTGGTGAAATCACGCAGACGGCGTGGGAGGAGGCAGTACAGCACCTGGCGAGCGGGGGGCCAGGCCACAGCTCTTTCTCTTCACACAATGCTGGCATTTGGGACACGGGGTGCTTGGTGCCACTGGGAGGAGGGGCTGCCATGTGTCTCCCTGACTTTGCCAGCCCCGGGGCTGCGGAGCTGCCACTGCTGGTCCACACAAAATGCCCTTGCTGCAGAGTGATCAGAGGTGAACCTTGACCCCAGGGGGTCTCTGCTCTGATCCGCATCATTGTTGTGTGAACATCAGCAAACTCTTCATTGAGTTCAGAGAATTTTAGGCTGAAAAGGATCATTTGAAAGGCAGGAAATGTGTTAAGTGTCTTGCTCAAAGTCATGCAGCTATGAAATAGGGAATCCTGCCCCTCAGATGGGGCTCCCCCTCCCACCTCTCGGCCTCACTGGCCACCTGATTGGCAGCCGTCACCACACAGGCTGAACTGACACTTGGAGGGCTCTGGCCGCTGGGGAGGAGTCAGCCCTGGCTCCGTCTTGGCCCAGGGCCATAGTGTTGGCTCAACCTTCTCAAGGCTGGGACAGACACATCTAGAAAGGATACTGTGGTCCAGACAAATGCGTCATGGTCAGTAGCCACAACCTTGGAGGTAAATCAGAGGTTTAGGTGGAGATGGAACCTGGAAACCGGTCGCTGGCAGTGGGCCTGCCAGTGGGGATGAGGGCAGGGGGATAAGACCGGTAGGCTTGAATCCCTGCCGTCATCTCCTCCTCAGAGTGATTCCACACTGGCTGAGAAGGTGAGGCTGGCGCCGTGGGGCCCTCCACGCCCTACTAGGACGGGCTTTGGGGCTGGTGGGCGTGTGGGCCATGGACATGGTGATTCCCAAGGTGGGGTGGGGAAGGCAGGATCTGATGAGGGTGGTCTATGTCTTCAAAGACAAGGTATTTTCAAGCCTTAGAAGCCTGGGTAGTGTTTGGGGATTCTGAGTGTATACGCATGATCTCATCTTAGACACTGTTCCTGGGTGTGACTGATGAGCATTCACCTGCTGTACTGATGAGCAACCCCCAGGCCTGCATCTGGAACCATGGCCGCCATTTTCTTAGGGACCCTTCAAGAGGAATCTAGAAAGGGTCAGAGCAACATCCGGCAGAGATGAGAGCAACAAAAAAGAACCTACCAGGCTATGCCAGCCCCCTTGGACTTGAGTTGGACATATTATGGGACAGAGGCAGGAAGGAAGGGCTGGCTCCTTCCTTCCTGGCATGTGGGGAAAGCTGGGAGGTGGGTGAACTGCAGGAATGGGTACATCAAGGATCGATGCGTTATAGATCAATTCTTCAACCTCTGCACCCCCGGGGGGCTGGCTCACAGTCTTGGCTGGACATGTGTAGACACCCTTAGGCAGTGCCTTGAAAAGGCTTTGGGCACTTTAAAGTGGTGGTTTTAATTTCAACCAAGTTGTAGTTGCAATTAGATCTGTCCAGATAATTAACTCCAATTTACCAGGTTGCAAGTAGTAATTAATTGCTAAAGTCTTCCGGGTGAGCCTTGGGTAGGACAGTTTTTCCTCTGAGGATGGAGGCTTTATTCTGAAGGCTCGGAAACATGGCCACCTTTGGTAACTTGTTTCTCTGTGACTCCTTCTGGCTCTGCCTCTTCCACAGGTTGCTGGTGACTTTGGACAAGTCATCGACCTGCCCAACTCTCAGTTTTCTCTCCTAGGAAAGGGGAGCAGTTCCTGCCTCATTTAGCTCCTGAGAACCAATGGTCAGGAGGAACGAGATTCGTGGGTTGGGATGCACCCCCTCCTCTTCCTGCAGGGCCTCCTGGCCGTTCCTGGGTGCAGCCGAGGGGCACTCACTCAGCTGCTTTACCTCTGAGCTGGGGTCGTGGTTGCCATTTCCTTCTGGGTCCTTTGAGAGACATCGGGAGAAAGTTAGGGCCAGGCTCTGCCCGGTCATTTTTGGGTGTTGCTACTGCTGTCCAAACTCTGCTTTGTTTTGTGGATGTTTAAATTTCTCAACTCAGCCATGAAGCATCAATTTTTCCTAAACCTACATGGAGTGCTTTTGGCAGTTTTTCCATTTCCGGAGTCTGTATTGAGTTGTGGTTTTGCTTCACACTTGAGGACTTCTTGTTTTCTAGGATCCAGAGCAGTAAATTTCAACCATGGAAACATATTAAAATCAGCTTTCCCACTGTGAATGTTTACAGAAACGCTGATTGACACTATAGCAGGGGGTGGGGGGGGGTTGGTTTTTTGAATAACTAGGTCAATTGGATATCTCTCTGAAAAAAATGACTCGACCTCTGCCTTACACAATAGCCCCAAATCAATTCCAGCTGGATCATAGACCTAAATAAGAAAGAAACACAGAACTTAAGAAGGTAATAGAAGAGCATCTTTATGGCTGTGGGGTCAGTAAAATCATATAAAACCCCCAAAATACCATAAAGAAAAGGATGTACAAACTGGAGTTCAGTAGAATTAAGCGGTTCTGTTCATCAAGAGATGTGAATTAAGGACGTGAAAAAGCAAATCACAGAGTGGGAAAAGAAATTTGCAATTCATATATCCCAAAGGACACCTATCATAAATATTTAAAGAACTACAAATTTATACAAAAATCCAGACACCCCAATTTAAAAGTTGGGCAAAAGAGCCACCCGGCCAAAGAGTATATCCAGGGGAGAGTCTAGCTCAGTGGTAGAGCGCGTGTTTAGCTGTCTAATGCAGACCTCGTGCATAAGGTCCTGGGTTCCACTCTCAGTACCTCCATTAATAAACAAACAAGTAGCCTAATTACCTCCCCCTCAAAACAAAACAAACATACAAAATGAACAAACCAGAAGAGCACATCCAAATGCCAGTAAGCACACAGACAAGTCTTCCCCATCATGAGTCATCAGGAAAATGCAAGTTAAAATCAAAATGTGATACCACTCCACACCAACATTTATAAAATTAATGAGGATGTGGAACAATTAGACTTTCACACACTACAGGTGGGAAAGTAATTGGTTCAATTCCTTTAGAAAATGCTTTGGCATTTTCTACTAAAGATGAAGCTACATATCTGCTATGACCCAGCACCCAGGAAAAATGCATCTCCATGGGCATCAAGCAACATGTCCAGGGATGTTCACTGCAGTATTATTCGTAATAGTTGCAAAGTGGAAACAACCCCAAAGTTCATCAGCTGGGGAGTGGATGGATTGTGGAATACAGAATGGAATACTATACAGCAGTTATTGCTGTATCCAGTGACGGGGAGGAATTTCACAGTATGATGCTGAGCAAAAGAAGTCAGGAAAGAAGAGAAAGAGAGAGAGAGGGAGAGGGAGAAAGAGAGAGAGAAAGAAAGGAAAGAAAGGAAAGGAAAGGAAAGGAAGGAAGGAAGGAAGGAAGGAAGGAAGGAAGGAAGGAAGGAAGAAAGAAAGAAAGAAAGAAAGAAAGAAAGAAAAAGAAAGAAAGAAAGAAAGAAGAAAGGAAGAAAGAAAGAAAAAGAAAGGAAGAAAGAAAGAAAGAAAGAAAAAGAAAGGAAGAAAGAAAAAGAAAGGAAGAAAGAAAGAAAAGAAAGAAAGAAAGAAAGAAAGAAAGAAAGAAAGAAAGAAAGAGAGAAAAAGAAAG